CATACCATCTTTTTACAGTGGCTTCTTTCACTTGGTAATATAAATTTAAGATTCATCCATGTCTTCTCATGACTTGATAGCTCAGTTCTCTAATTACTAAATAATATTCCATTGTACCACAACTTGTTTATCTATTCACTTAACAAAGGACATCTTGGTTGCTTCCAAGTTTTGGCAATTCTGAATAAAGCTGCTTTAAACATTTGTGGGCAGGTGTTTATGTGGACATCAATTTTCACCTTATTCGGGTAAACACCTAAGAGTGTGATTCCTAGATTGGTCATGTGATAAGTCTATGTTTAGTTTTGTATGAAACTGCCAAATTATCTTTCCACATGGCTGTGTCATTCTGCATTCCCATCTGCAACACATGAGAGTTCTTGTTTCTCCACATCCTCGCTGGCATTTGATGTCAGTGTTTTGGATTTTAGCCACTCTAATATGTGTGTAATGATATATCATTGTTTTAACTTGGAATTCCTTAATGACACAAGATGTTAAGCATCTTTTCATGTGCTTATTTGCATCTGTATGTCTTCTTTTGTTAGGTATCTATCTAGATATTTTCCCTAGATTTTAATTGGGTTGTTTGTTTACTTATTGTTGAATTTTAAGAGCACTTTGTGTATTCTGGATACTGGTCCTTTATCAAATTTGTTTAGAGTCATTTGTTTTTTATTTTATTGATTTTTAATTGAATTTCTTGGGTAACATTGGTTCACAAAATCATACAGGTTTCAAGTCTACAAGTCAACAAAACATCATCTGCATAGTACATCATGTGTCCAACATCCCAAGCCAAATCTCTTTCCATCCCCATTTTCCCCAGTTTGCCCACCTCCATCTACTCCCCATCCTCCTTTCCCTCTGTCTATCACCACACTGTTTTCTGTGTCTATGATGTATGTGTGTGTGCGTGTGTGTGTTTGCTTAATCCCTTCACCTTCTTTTTTTTTATTTTTTTTATTTTATTTTTTTTTTTAATATATTTTATTGATTTTATACAGAGAGGAAGGGAGAGAGATAGAGAGTTAGAAACATCGATGAGAGAGAGTCATCGATCAGCTGCCTCTTGCACACCCCCTACTGGGGATATGCCCGCAACCAAGGTACATGCCCTTGACCGGAATCGAACCCGGGACCCTTCAGTCCCCAAGCCGACGCTCTATCCATTGAGCCAAACCGGTCCCGGCCCCTTCACCTTCTTTAGTTCAGCCCCCCCCCGCCCCGCCCCAACTTTGCTCCCCCTCTGACAGCTGTCTGTCTGTTCCAAGTATCTATGCCTCTATTTCTATTTTGTTCTGTGTTTACTTATTTTCTTTTCTGCAAATATTTTCTCCTAGTCTGTGGCTTGGCTTTTCATTGTCTTAATAGTGTCTTTTGCAGAGCAGAACTTTTTAACCTACAGTAAGCCCAACTGACCAATTTTTAATGTAATAAACTATGCTTTTGGTATTGTATCTAATTAGTCATTGTCAAACCTAAAGTCACCTAGACATTCTTTTATGCTGTCTCCTAGAAATTTTATTATTTTATATTTAGGTCTAGGATCTAATTTGAGTTAATTTTTATGAGAGATATAAGGTCTAGGTCTAGATTCTTTTTTTTTTTTTTCCCCAGTGGATGTCTATGAAATCTGGATTTTTGTAAGAAGTGTCTTGATTTTAAAGATTGGATAGACATATACTGATAGTGCTAGGGAAGGAACTAGTAAGTTGTCCCTCCCTCATCACATGACTATAGGCTATTTTTCCATCTTGGATCATCTCTGCTTCTGTCATATACCTTACCTCAAATGCCTTCTTTCTTTTCTTTTCATTTTTTTTATTGATTTCAGAGATAGGAAGGGAGAAGGAGAGAGATACAGAAACATGAATTATGCGAATCGTCTTTTGGCTGCCTCCTGCATGCCCCCCATTGGGTATGGAGCCCACAACCCATGCATGTGATCTCCTGGTTCATGGGTTGACCCACACAGGCTGGGCTGGAATGTACTTCATCCACAAATAAAATCTTATCTAAGGCCTACCTCACATTTTGTCTACCCTACCTTCTCCAATACTCTGACTGGTGCATGTACTCATCAGATATTCAGTTATTAGTTGTTGAACTCTAAACACACTTAAAAGCTACAAGTCCCAATTAGCACTGCCATATACCACTGTCTTTCCTCCTTAGCCAGGCTGTAAACTCTTTTTTCTCATTTACCCAAGATAGCTTAGCATAGGTTTGGTCACAAAATAGGAGAGAATACTTGCTGACAATTTCAGGCTAGCTGGACTTTTGTCCTGGCTTACCAAGTATCCTTTGGTCTTCAGGAGGACCTGCCAAAGATTTAAACCCTGCAGTCTTGCCCTGGCATGGCTAGAATGGTGGCATCTCTAATTGTGATGCCTGAGTTAGCACTATGCCCATACAGACAAGAGGGGCCTGATCTCCTTGGAGAATTAGCACCAATTTACCAATGAGACAGCAAAATGTAGTCTCTGAAGTACCAAAGGGTGCTGAGTCACAATGTGTTTCTTTCATTATGATTGTTACACAGTCACAGTGATCGTTCCAGTCATTATGAAAATAATGAAAAACAAATGAATAAAATAAAAAGAACAGACCGTTTTCTGGTGACTAGTTCCCTACCTTATGCTCAATTAATAGTCAAACAAGCTAATGGTAATCCACCACCATTGATTCTGTGTTTTGTTTTCATCTGCATCATTCATTAAGTGTTCCCATTCAAGGCTTTCTGTGCACTTCAAAGTGAACAGTATTGAAGGGAATGAAAGGATCCAGAATGGAGGCTAAGACCCACCAGTCCCACTTGGCTTCATCTGAGCCCAGTCACCATGGCAGTGTGCTGACAGACTTCACAGAATCAATTTTCTCAGGGAACATACTGTGACTTCTGTTTTCCAGGACTACTCCGCCTGTATCTATGGCCACTCAGGCGAATTCCACACAGAAGACAATGGGAGTCACAGCATCCCACTGCCCTGAGTGACAGAAATGGTCATTGAACCTACTGGAGAGCCTGCAGGACCTGTGTGCTTGGCCTGTGTTTGGGGCATGGAAAACTCTGGTGTCTGTGCTGGGATCAGCACTCCAGTCTCAGGAACAGTCTGCCTTGAGCTCAAGACTCACAGGTGTCAGTCAGACCTTCCCCGAGCTCAGCAGGACCACAGTCCTGCTAGAAACACCACATATCTACCTCTAACCCTCCTCCTCAGAATAAAGGTAGAACTGTTCCTGGTATCACCCTCCCTTCCCTGGGAAAGCCCTCCCCCCCAAATCTGCAGCATTCAGGGACACCCCCCTCCTCCCTCCCGTTTGGTGTGGAATAGACTGAGTCACTCCACAGTATTTTATGTAAAACAAATCACAAGACAATCAGAAAATAAAAAGCCTAAGCCCCCTCTTCGAGGGCCTGTTAAAAAGACCCCCCTTTCTACTTAGCTGTTCAAGCAGCCTCTTTGGACAAACTGTACTGAGCAGTGACTCAGGGGGCTCCCAGCCCTTAGCTGCTGAAAACAAAGATTAAAGAAAACTATTCAATAGTTGGTATGACAGCTAGAATCAGAAGATATAAAGCAGCCTGGGCTAGAAGTTCAACTTTGCTCATGCTGAGCAACAAATAACCTCAGCAACTGGTAGGTACAGAGATTAAACAAAATGGGGGTGGGGTGGAGAACAAGAATCTCTTTAATGGCTTAGGAGCACCTGGGTCATTCAGTCTGGCCTTGGGGAGCCAGAGAAACTCACTGCCCATAACCAGAACTTGTTAAATTATTTTGAGCTCTTAAGGCACTGGTCCACTACTTGCTGAAGAAACATATTACCAAAAAATAGCTAAGTCATTTAACTTCCTGAATATCAAGGTAGGATTTAAAGCCAATAACTAAAATGAGACCTGACTTTCTCAATGCATGATTTCATCCTATACTGTTGTTGTATTCTCTGTATAATTAACTTTTAAGTTGACTTTAGAGTCATTTTTCCTCCCAAACCTTAATGTACCTTAGACCCTTCTAAGGCAAAAATTGCTGGACCCATTTTGCACATCTGTAACCATCTTAATGAGATAGAATGCTAAGGTGCATTCATTCACACACCTTAGCCTAGAAAGGGGCTTGGAAAGGCTCTGTTATCCCAATGTCTCACCATGTAAAACAACTGCCTGAGAGCAATCTGTGGCTGAACCACAAACTATTTTCACTAGAGAAAGGCAAAGTCAACTCTGCTTTTCCCGAGTCTTATACAACTGCAGCCTCAAAGTCCAGCTGTGCTGGTCATGGCCTCACATTCTTTCCGCAAAAGCTCTGGTTGACACGATTTATGCGGTGGTCTGAGGAAGCATGCTAAGCAATGTGGGATGAAACCACAAGGGAGGACTTTCTGGCTCTAACAGAGTACATACAATTTCCGTGGAGGTTTGGACAAGCAGCCCCAAAACTGCCTGTCTTGGCTATGGGTGCTTGAAACCCAAGAATGAAGCAACAATGGTGCTCCTCTTTTTTAGCCCTTGTATGTGATCACGGTCACACTAAGGTTGGAAGGGCTGAAGGCCCAAAGGGCTACTGGGAGCTCTTTTTTTTTCTTTTTCTTTTTCTGGAACTGAACATTGTCAACACAGTCAGGGAGGAGGGAAACCAAGACAACATGTATGAAAGAAACAGACCTGGCTTGTGATCTACTGAGCTACAACAGTGCCTGGATGTTCATAAAACCAAAACAAATTGCTTTTCATGCCCAGCAGCCAGCACAGGCAATAGCAATAGCCATCACCAAAGCATCTCAGCAGGATGGCAAATCATAGATCACCAAGGCCAAGAAGCAGTATGTTGTGAATAATGATTAACCCGTAACAAACTAGCCAAGCTCCAAGTTTAGGGAAACTTAAATAACGTTCATAGGGCGATGCTCAAAGTCAGATTGGGCCTGAGAGCAAATTCTCAGCAGAATTGCTGACAGAGGGCCTGCCGTAGCAGGGAAGCAAACATACTTACAGTGAGTTGGGCCGGGTGGGTTTGAGCACATCCAGGTCTGGGTCACTGGAGTTCATGTTGGGCTGTAAGCTGCTGCTAGAATTAAGGATGCTGTTTGCATTTGATGAGACGACAGATTCCAAACTGGAGTTAATGATGCTGTTTCTTTGTTCTTCTGGGGAAAAACAAAAGGACACAAGCCCCATATTATTACTCCATAGGGGTAGTCTATTCCCACATATATAAAAATTTACAAATATTGAAATTGGATTGAGATCTCTGGGCCAGTGAAGCTAAAAATGGGACATAAGAAAGGATATGAATGACAAGTGAGAAAGGAAATAAAAGAGAAATAGGTCACCTGATATTTTAGAGTAAAACCCCTCCTTAGTTTGATAGGACATACCTCCTCCCCTAGCCCCAACCCTTTTAATTTGACCAGCCTTTTTCCTAAGAGTAGCCCTACCACTGTTCCATAAGTTGTATCTTATTTTGACTGGCAGATGGTCAGAGCAGAGAACAACCTCCATAGCCCTTTGTGTTCAACCAGATCCTCCTGGTTTCTGTGCCATTCACCTTTTATTCAAACACTCCTGCCCCCATGTTGTCTAAATTGCACAGGCCACATCCTAATTCTGATTCTATCGCAAGTAACCATCAAGGTCTACTAGTTGGTCATCTACTTCCTTATGACTCTGTAACCTAAATTCCTGATGCTCCCTACATATATCCTCTGGGTTGCTGTAGCTCTAGCCAATTGATGTTTAGCTTCAAGTTAGTTCTTTGTATATTTTATTGATTTTTTACAGAGAGGAAGGGAGAGGGATAGAGAGTTAGAAACATCGATGAGAGAGAAACATCGATCAGCTGCCTCCTGCACACCTCCTACTGGAGATGTGCCCAGCAACCAAGGTAATGCCCTTGACTGGAATCGAACCTGAGACCTTTCAGTCCACAGGCTGACTCTCTATCCACTGAGCCAAACCGGTTTCGGCTCAAGTTAGTTCTTTGATTAAAAGATGTGTAAGGGCTACAAAGTAGTTTGCATATAAAAAAACTGAGTCCAGGGTCCAAGCAGTCATATTAGTGTTTGGAGTATATTACCAGACCAGGAGGAAGAAACCTGAGTTGATTTCAAGATTCCACCCTTGACTGGTAGTATGGCCTCAGGCAATTTTCACTCACACTCTGTTTTTTGGCTAATGCATCTATACAATGGGGAGAGTGAGCTGTCCAGAGGATTAAGTGAGATCATTTGCAAGAATGTGTTTTGTAAACATCAGACATTGCTTAAAGAAAAGAACTTTCTTTTTTGTTAATCCTCACCCAAGTCTATTGTTTCCATTGATTTTTAGAGAGAGTGGAAGGGAGAGGAGGAGAGAAAGAGAAACACTGATATGAGAGAGAAACAACAATTAGTTGCTTCCCGCATGTGTCCAGACTAGGGTTTGGAATCAAGTCTGCAACTGACCAGAATTGAACTTAGAACCCTTTAGTCCCCAGGCCGATGCTCTCACCACTGAGCAAGTAAAGAACATTCTGTTTCTTCCCCTCTTTAAAAACTTGGAACCACTACCTGAAGAAAACAATTTTTGCTGTGATTTAGCTAAATGACACAGGCACCACTGCTATAGCAAAACATTGGGGATTTAGAATGTCTATCTTATCCTATGTTACCAACAGATATGCCATATTGAAATCAACTGATATTTTGAGCAATCGATTCACTCATCAAGAAATATATCTGGCCGAAACCAGTTTGGCTCAGTGGATAGAGCGTCAGTCTGCAGACTGAAAGGTCCCAGGTTTGATTCCGGTCAAGGGCATGTACACTGGTTGCGGGCACATCCCCGATAGGGGGTGTGTAGGTGGCAGCTGGTCGGTATTTCTCTCTCATTGACGTTTCTAGCTCTCTATCCCTCTCCCTTCTTCTCTGTGGAAAATCAATTAAAAAAAAAAATATATATATATATATCAATATATAAAAGAAATATATCTGGGTTAATCTTCACTGGACTGTTTTGAAATGAGCCAGATGTATACCATATCCCTAAGGAGACAGACTAGGCTCACTGACATGGTAGTTAAGAGGTGGACATTTGAACTATGGTGTCTTTAGCCAATAAAGGGGGTGATGTCATGGTAAAAAATATTTCTTCCCTTATACTAGTCATGTCAGTAAAAATATATTATACTTATTAAATGATGTTAGATTAATATTCACATTACACACACACACACACACACACACACACACACACACTCACTACACAATGATCCCTAATAGCTTGGCAAATTTTCAATGTCATATTTAAAACCCTACAGATGAGTTAAAAACACCATAAGGCTATTGGGAGATTGAAACACCATAAGGCTATTGGGAGACTGCGTAACTTTTAAGTAGATTTTGAAAAAAGTAGATTATTAAGTTGTTTCCAGAGATGTAGACCTGTTCATATTTTAAGAGCTTAAATTCCAAACGGAAGCAACAATGAAGAAAGAGAAACCAAAAGAGCTACATTGAACCAAGATGTAGGCAGACTAATAGGGCCTTTGATGGGAACCCGCTACTGAGAAAAACAACCCTAAAATGACATAATTAGGGGATCATCTAAGGAATGGTTATGCCACTATCAGTATGATTCAGTATAAGTAAAAATTTCCTTTGCACAAAGTACTCATATCAAGATTTCTACAAGACTATGAGGAGCCTAAGATCACCATATAAAAAAAGGGGAATACTATACCTCTTTGGAGTTCAATAGAGACACTTTCTGCTTTATACAGAAGGAGAGATTAATAGTTTTATAAATTTTAATTTGAGGCGAAGTTTGGATGACATAATTCTTTGAATTCATAGGAAACAGAAGAATATAGCTGTAGCTCATATTTTTCTTGTGATTTTATTTACTTACCCATGAGAATGTTGTAATTCTATAAATTAAAAAACAGTATCTTGCTAAAAGTATATTTGTTTTTCTAAAATATTATCAGGATTTTTTTTCTGCCTTACTATACATTAGAAAAAGAGTATGTGAAATGAAACCTTCTTCAATTTTTATTTATTCAATGAATGTTTAATGAGTATCTACTGAGTAGCAAATACAGCATCCAGTTAGCAGATTCTTAAATTTATTCCTTGGTATTTTATTCAGATGCCTACTGGTATATTTGTTAACTTGCATTATATTTACTTAACCATATGCTTACCTTATTTAATAGACTATGAGCAACCTAAGATTGGATATCTGTCAGATAACACTTTTAAATCACAATTGAAAAAAAATTACATAAAGATACTTTGCGTTATAAAATAAAATATTTTATTAGAATCCTAGTGCTCATAAAAAGATTTCATTCTGAAAACTAGACTTAGATAAAGATTTTAAGAACATATCTCCTATTACCATTGTATAGACTGGGGTTCTTCATGACCTAACGAGAGAGCCTATAGCATTTGAAAGATGGTATTTGAATAAAACTCACAAAAGGAGTGAGGATGGGGTGGGAAACAAGAATGTGACCCTCCCTGGGCTAGGAAAGTCAATGGAATAAAACAGGTGGCTACACCCAAACTGAACTTGGGGATTTCTAGCATTCCATTTACTGGAGGACATTAGAATTCTTTTTTTAAGAGATAAATTATTTTTGAGGTTTTATTTGGGCTTATATTAAAATATATAGAATATTTCATATATGTCATAACCTAAAAAAAAAAACCAATACAACAACAAAAGCAAAAGGTCAAGGAAAGGAGTTAATTGTTCAAGAAGAGGAAAAATATATAATTAATCAGATTTCATAGTTTTGTAGCCAAGACAGCCAATTATGCACCCTAAAAGGCATCCTCTTTATTGGCCTACCTGGGTGAGCCACGTGAAAAGGGAAACTGGGAACCTGGCATTTTCTGACTACCCAGCCATTACAGTTTCATTGGATGTAAGCCCTTAGCTAGTAAGACTGGGAACTCCCAGTTGTTACTTCTCAATGAAATGCTGACAAGTCTTACTGAAGGTGAGCAAGAAGTTGAAGATTATTCCTGAGATGTGGGAAAGATCAACAGCAAATCAAATATTTTTGTAGTTGTTGCAAACTCTAGAGCAGTGGTTGCCAACCAGTGGTCCATGAGGTCTGAAAGTTTGGCGACTGCTCTAGAGAGACCAATTCTAGGGCATTTGAAATGAATTTAAAAAATAAAGAGAAAGCGATACAGTAATGTCACTCAAAACAGGAAGATTTTATGTTCTCCTGACAGGAAAACATAATAAGAATAAGCAGCCTAAAAAGTAAAAATAAAATAAATCAAATAATTCAAATATGAGAGACAGCTGGACTTGGAGCTACTGATGATTCACACCAGCTCGGCATCTTCATAAGAAGGTATTAAAAGGACTGATGGCAATTACATTACTGAAGGAAAAAATTATAAACTACTGGACTGAAAAAGAAAAACAACAACCGGGTATGAGTCAAATCAACAAGATTACAGAGAACCATTTAAATGACCAAGAGAGAAAGAATGCTCACAAGTCAGGAGTAATTCTAAACCAGGGAAATTCAATGAAAATGCTTGCTTTCCTCAAATATGTTTGTCAACAAGTATCTCTCTTTATAGTAATCACTGAAAACAAGAGCCCAGAAATAAGGAAATGATAGACGCAATCTTCAAACAATTGTAAACATCTATGAGTAATGTATTGGATGCTTTCAGGAACATATGTTCAACGAGGAGTGACAAACTGGATGAGGAGCTGGTCCTTAAAAATACAGACTACTCTAGGGCTGGGGCACATCTGCCCAAGCAGAAAACATCAGGCATCCGTCAGTGACTTGTGAGGTCAGCATCTGCTCATCCATTCCTGCTTAGTCTGTGCATAGTATCTGCTAAAGCTCCATGAATAAGTGTAAGCTAAATAATAAATATAAGGCCACAATAAACAATCAAAATGTGTTCTCCTAGCATAGAAAAAGGCAGTTCTGTATGATTGGGTTTTTCAGGTGTGTCCACACTGGGACCGCTAATGTCCTTAAAAACAAAGTCCTGGGTACAGGGGGCAATGTTTTTTTTGTACAAATCAGGAGCGGAAAAACATGAGTATGCAACCAAATCACTGCAACTAAAAAAAGAAAGCCACAGAGTAATTTTGGTGATATTGTACTTGTTCCGTGGGTTGC